CTTCAGGGAAGCTCCTGAAGCCTCTGGAGGGCTTCCAGAGGGTTGGGGGAGGCTGTTTTCGCCTTCAACAGGCTCCTAGAAAGTCTCTGGAGCCTGGGAAGGGTGAAAAAAGTATGCCAAAAGCGAAGGGTTTGCGCTAGTTGTGCGCGCATATGCGTCGGGAGGGGGGTCACCAGTGCCTACACACTGGGGTCGCACACATAGCATTATGGGTGTGGGCATGTCTGCGCATAACTCCTGCGCTCCCCCCGCTTTTGGCATGTGATCCAAAATAGGTTAACCATCACTGTTATAGGATGTTAGGATAGAAGCTGTTTCAAGTAAAACAATCCTGCAATTGACTGGTGGTGAATTTGTCAATGCTGATAGTATTTAACTGGTGCTCCAGTTGTTTTGGGACGGCACCCAAGGCACCTAATACTAATGGAAGTGCATTTTTTCTTTTTAGATTTGCAAGTCTTTGTATTTTGTTATCTTCTCAAGTTCCTTTTCTTGTATTCTGTTTTCTCCGGGTACTGCCCTCTCCATCATCCAGACTTTTTTATCTGGTTAACAATTGTTAAGTTTGATGTATTATGTGATAGCTGCCTATCTGTTGGAATCCCAAAGGACTTGGTGGGAGTGGCCAAGACAATGTTATTACTTGATATTACTAATTACTAGATATTATTATTATTAGATCATTATTAATGCGTAGATAATTAATAATGTGTGGGTGGGCGCACACACACACACACACACACACACACAAACTATGACAGTGCCAGGAAAACACCAAAAAAATAAGAATCCCCCCCCCCAAAGACTGCCAATGAAACCAGGTTTTTTTTCCTAAGTCTAAGCACAGAAAAGACAAAGACACTGGAATAAAAACCATCAAGGCAATGTGGAAAATTATAAAGGACAGGCGCTCATAGAACCATCAACCACCTCAGAATTACCTAAACAACGAGGGTGAAACACACTAAATCTGGCAAAGCTGCCTTGCAAGAAACTTGGCCTGCCCATAGAAAAGCAGCCACTTTGAGACACATAAACCTGGTCTGAACACTTAAAAGCAACATATTGCATCACAAATAAAACATTTGCAGAAAGGAATAACATTTCTTGTAATAAACATTCTATAAAC